CCAAAAAATCTGTACTTTAGGTACTAGTAACCAAAATAACCGTTTTATTTAAAGCTCCCAAAAACACATTCAAACTTCCAATTATGTATATTTAAGTTCTCGAAAATAATATTTAAAAATAAAAAAATTTGGGACAAAATCCAAAAAAGACTCATTTAAAAAAAATTTTGAAAAAATCCGAAGAAGACTCATTTTGGGGTCCAAAATGTGTTTGTAAAATAGTTGTTTCTCATTCAAAGTAGATATACCAAAATGAGTCTTTTTTGTACTTTATCCCAAAATTTTCATTTTATCTCATTTATAAAGTATTTCGAGAAACAATTAAAAAAAGACTCATTTTAGAGACTATAGTATATCCGTAAAAGTATACAAAAATAGAAAAAAAACGATGTTGAATATGTTTTTGAGAGCATAACAAAAAATGTTATTTGTAACACTACCTAAAAAGTTTCTGTGGAGTCATCTATTCCAGACTCGGCTATTGCCTTGGAAGCAGTAACGATTAGTCCGAAAAACTGTACTTTAGGTACTAGTAACGAAAATAATAATTTTAGTTAAATCTCTCGAAAACACATTCAAACCTATTATTGTTTGGTTAATTTCTCGAAAATAATAGTTAACTTAAATGTGTGTACACAAAAAAGCACATTTTTGATTTTTTTGAGATTATAAAGATTCGGTATTTGTTTAGGTTGTTTTATAATTAAAAAACAGGAAATTTAATTTTTATTATAAAATTTCTAAAGCTGTTCACACTTTGAAAATTATTAAAATCATGTGTGTAACTAATAATACTTTGTTAATAAAATAAGAAAAAAAATTAAGTGTATCTAAAATTATTTGTTGAAGGTTTATTTCAGATAAAAGTTATGAGTCTTTAATTAGATTCATTTTATTACACAGTTACAGAAAAATATAAGAATGCATTTTTATTTCTACCATAAGCTTGCTTTTTTGGCCAAACGTTCGAATAAAAAAATTACAAAAGCGCTCAAATAACCAAATAGAAGTAAATAAATAGCTCCTAGAAACCTATTTATATCAATAGTGTGATGGTCCAAGTCGTCGGAATAAATCGAAAACATTGCTCCAAACCGAATGTGAGAATTATCATAAAACGTGATATTTTTTAACCAGAAACTGATTAACCCTTGTTCCTGAAACCTTGCATAGTATTTATCAAGTAAAACTTTATACGGGGAACGTTTTCGTATAGGAAAAACGATATAAAATTGTCCAAGACACTCTTTTAACACCATTAGATGTTTTCTCTCGTAATTGTCTAAATCCTCCGTGTCGGTCACGTACAAATTAGACAATTGTTTAACGATTCTTGCAACATGTTTACCCCTTTGAGGAACACCAAGATCTCCCAATTTCCTTATTTTTTCAGAACGTGCTTTTTTGAACGACTTTTTCAAATACGGTTCTTCTAACCATTCAACCTTATAATCAACCATATCTTTAATGGTTTTAATCGTGTCAGTAACTCGCGGGTTAGTCAAAGAACTGGTGATACCAGCCGAATAGTAAGTCGAGTAAACCAAACAAACCAAAAACCAAGTTGCTGCCAAAAGTCTAAGAGCGGTTTCAGACAATTGAGCACTTGAACCTCCAAGTGTCCACAAGCGTAACAAATAAAGAAAAGTGTCAATTCTACCGTCTTTGATAACACTTTTTCTAAACGCTTTATAAACGCGAGAAATGCGACGAATTGAAGTCCAAAACAGTACAAACATCGTGAGAGTTAAGGCCCAAACGGACGCGGGAAACGGCTGCCAAATGAACGTGAAAGCTGGAAGCAATCTCGGTTTAGGGACGAGAAAAGTGACACAAATCTGGGTTAAAGGATAAGTTGTGTCAACTTTAGATAAATTCTGTGTCATAAACCAGTATGAACACGAGGCCAAATCGGCTGATTTGTTGACAATTGTTTCAACTCCCAAATTCCATTTAAGAAAAGGTTGATCACTGTGGACAAGTTCGAATCTTTTGGGGCACTTTTGAAGTATGGTGTTGATAAGTTGAAATTCAACACCTCCAGTGATTTTATCACCCTCACCAACGTAGAAATATGGACTGCAGTTGAAAGTTGATACAACGAAGGGTTTGTTGTCTCTGCATGGAGTCCATTGAGGTTGAACTAAATCCAAAGGGTCAAACTCTAGAAATGTTTGGTTCCAAATCCAATTCGCCAAAGTTTTATTCTTGTAAATTGATTTAACACTGATTTTGGTAAATTTGTCACCAACCATTTGGATTTGTACACAAATAATATCAATGGCGTATATCATAGTAGCAAGGGAAAGTTTTTCAAAACTTGACACGGAATTATAAAAAATCAAAAATCTTTCATGAGGTTTAATTGTACCGTTTGTTTCCAAATCGTCCAAAATTAAGTTTGCAACTTCACTGACATTTTCAGTTGTTATTATGTATCCCGAACATATGTGCTCACTTAAAAAAATTTTTGAAATACTTAAATACTGAAAACTGGTGTTTGCTAACACAGTTGATATTATTGGATCAAATTCGGTATTATTCGAAATGTAATATATACAGTGATGATCGATAAATATAGCCTTGACTATTTCAAGGACAAAATATATTTCATCAACTTTTAAATCGTCTGAAAATTGTACAAAAATTAACAAAACCATAATGACCAACATATTACGTCGCAACTCATTTTGTTATACTTTTGTAAACCAAATCGAAATGACGTCAATGATATTTTTTTAAATGATATGTTACCTAAGTACTTATTTTTACAAATATAAATTACCTATTTTCCTTTTTAGTAAATCTTTTATTAATCTCATGGAAATGTTGCCTGCTTTTCTTGTTATACATTTATAAATATTTCAGTAGTCTTTTTGAACCACCCAATTATTTATTACTGTACGATATAATTAAATATAATTGTTTAGTAAATAGCTTAAAATGACGGAAAACCAGGTTAGTATGGTAAAAAAACATGTTTATGTGAGTTTTGTTTTAGTTTATTTTCACAGTAATCACACAAAAACTTTTTTATGTGTGTATACAAGGTGTTGAAGTTTCATGAGTTATTTTTATAGAATTTTACAGGCGTTGATACAATATTTTTTCTATTAACAAACTCGTTTGGGTGCGTTAACAGTCTAGTGTATTTTATATTTTTAATGTTGGCGATGTCAATTACTATAATTTGACTCTTGAAGTTTGGTATTTGACACCTATGGTATTTGCCAGTTGTTAGTCCTGGGGAAATGTTTTTATTCATATTGTTATATAGTTACATTCAGATAAAGAAGTAACACTATGTTTTCACAATTATCTCAAAATAAGTTACAAAATCACCAAATTACTTAAAAAGTGTTTTCTTTGTTCTTTTACAAAATTTCACACAACAGGGTCAAAAAACCGCTAAACTGAATCGTTTCCTAGCATTTTTAGTACGTTTTTCAAGCAGAAAAAAATATTTTGGGAAATTGCGTTAAAACAAAACCAAAAATTTACCAAATTAGAACAGAAATTTGTAATTTTATGCCCTGTTGTCGCAAGATTTCAGGAATTTAGTGAGTTTCTAGGTGAAAAATGCTCCCAATATCACGTATTTCAGAGCCAATTTTACAATTTTTTGCCTTGTTTGGCAAAATCTTTTTTATATATTTAGTTTCTTGATTAAGAAAATGTTTAAAACTTATCGAAATAACTGAAAATAAAACTTTTTAGACCTAATTTCGCAATTTTTTGCTTTATTTTGTCAAAATCTAGAATTTATTAAGTTCCTCAGAAACTTTTTAAATTCATCAAAATAATCAAAAATATTGAATTTCAGCAGAAGGAATTTTTGGATTCCCTACTTAATTTAGGTAAAATGTCACAAATTTGATAACTTAAAAAAAGCGCATTTCAGACTTACTTTTATAATTTTTTGCCTTATCATTTTGGAAAATTTTTTTAAATTTATTTAATTTTGCAGCAAAAATGCTCTAAAACCTAGAACGTAGGTACATAAACAAAAATAAGACATTTTAGACTTAATTTTATTATTTTTTATCTTGTTTTCACAAAATTTCCCAATTTTGGTGAGTTTTTCGATAAAAAACGCAACTAAATTTACAACAAATTCATTTTGGAGTCAATTTTGCAATTTTTCGCCCTGTTTTGGCAAAATATGTTTTGGTTTTTGGTAAAAAATGCTTTAATCTTATCTGACCTGATGTGATCTAAGCAGAAAAAGACTTTTTAAAATCTTACAAAAATATAAAAAATTTTAGCAAAACTTCAACAAAATACTTTCATTCTTTCAGCCGACTTTTGTTAGTTTCTCGCCGAAAAACGTTACTAAATTTCCTTTAATAGTGTTATTTCTATGTTTGAGTATTTAAACACGTTTTTAAAACAAAAAGCAAAGTTTTTTTCGAAAGGAAATAAAATTTCACATTTTGGAATGATTTGGATTTGGCGCGATATGTCAACTGTCAAAATCAACTTTTGATTTTGATATTTTTTTTCCATATAATTACAAAATTGCGACTTTTGTGAACGGAATGGTTTTTATAATAATTAAATGAGTGTCGCCAACTAAATCAAAAGTCCCTAAATTTAAAAAGTTTATTTTTATACAGCATAAAAACTCCAAAATAGGAAAAATAGTATATGCAATAGTTTGTTCTTCAACTTGCCACTACGCGGCTTGTATCAGAATTTTTTTATCTTAAATAATGATTGTAATATTTTTTGTATATTTTTCTTTTTTATTATTAGGTGTTATTTAATTTTCTTCACAGTTGTGAAGAAGACTAAATATTTTTTCCACAGATGAATTGAATACTTTTCTTAAATGAAAACGGTGTAAAAAATAAAAGGGGGATAAAGTTTCATGATAAAAATTAAAATCCATTAGTTAAAATCCATTTTACAGGTTATTTTTTTACTTATATTTTTATTGGTGTTATTTGTTAGTTAAAATTGTTTTTTTTTTGTTAACTAAAAGCTAAAAAACTACTCACGTCCTAGAAAAACGTCACCAAACTGAGTCTTCTGCTTCAGGTTTTTCCCCAAAAGGTTTTTAGGTTTAGGCTTGCAGTGAGAGGTGAAACACAAAGCCTCGGGATGTCGAAACTCCCACATGGCCTGCCATATTTTGAGTCCATTTTCCAACCGAAAATTTTGAAAATCCGATTCTTTCAAATGGTGGCACATTGGGGCAAATAAATATACAAAAAGCTGAAAAAAGTGCCTGAAAACGCGTTTATCACTGTCAAAAGCTTACTGTTATTGTTGGTATAGAAAACAAATAATAAAATGGAGAAGAATGAAAAATGCCCTTTTCAAAATCACTATCAGCGCATTCTTCTGCAGCGTCTAGAATAATCCAGTGCAAAGTGTACATTAGTTTTGTTTCGACAGCCCCCAAACTTTGAATATTTCCATCTTTCATTCTGAAATGTTAAAACTTGAAATAATGTTTTAGAAAAATCAGTTTTCTACCGTGTAAACAGTAAGTTTGCAGCAGAATGCATCACATGTGGAAGAGAGGCTTGAATTAGTTTCCATCTCGGTATCGAACGAATTGCTTCACATAAATCGGGTTTTAGGCCACTCTGTATATTCTGGACTAGCACTTTTTCAAATATTTTACACGCTTCTTTAAGTTCCTACAAGTTTTAATTAGAAATTTGTCCAATATTTACTTGGAAATTTTTACGTGGTGACCAGTCATTGAATGTTGACAAAACTGTAAACAATTTTAATAATAATAAAATATTATTGTTTTTTTTTGTTATTACCATGCATGATGCTTCGTGTAATTTTCCCAATTTTGGTTTAACAAATGGGCTTCAAAAAATATTATTTTTTTAAGTGAAATTTTTATAATTTCACAAAATTACCTGACTTGTCTCCATAAAAACACTTGAATGGGGATTGGGAGAGCTTCCTCGTTGAAACTGTTATCACTGGAGGATCTATCCGAGTCTGGCATCTTGATTTTGCACTTTTTTCACGAGAATTAAACGAAATTTCCGTGATTTTTTATTGCATCTGGAGCGAGAGATGCAGGGATGTAAGGTCTGGAATGAGCGCGCTCACATTTTGATACGTCTAGGGTGGCAAATATTGATTTGTTTACTACATCCCAGCCCCTTGCCCGAAAAGCGAGTTGAATATTTTCAAATTTTTATAGTAAAATTAGATAGAAATTGAAAAAAGAACATAAAAACTACTTTTAAATAATTAAAAAAAACAGCTTTATAATTATTAATAAAACAGTAATTGTTATAATTTTAGGTAGTGGTATTCTTGATTGCATATACTTTTAGTGTGAGTGAAAGAAAATAAAATTTACGATTGAAATTTTACATTGATTTAAATTTGGCGCGTCAAGATGAGTTTTGACGTTTGATATTTGACATCTATGGTATTTGACAGGTGTCAAAAATGTGGCGGGAAGTAATTTTTATGAAAAAAATTGTATTGAATATAAGTACCATATTCTTTTACGAGATTTCGCACATCAGAGTCAAAAAATCGATAAATTGAATCGCTTCTGTGCTTTTTTGTAGGTTTTTCAACGAAAAAAAAATATTTTGCAACATTTATTCGTTAAAAACAAACCAAAATTTATTAAATTAAAACAGAAATAACATTACGAGTATATTAGTATTTTTAAGTGTTTATAACCAAGTTTTTATAATAAAAACAAAGTTTTTTCGAAAGAAAATATAATTTGACTTTTCAATGGTTTAAAATTTGTTGTGTTACGTCATCTGTCAGAATGAGGTTTGACGTTTGGTATTTGACATCTATGGTATTTGACAAATGTCAAAAATGTGGCGGGAAATAATTTTTATGAAAAAAATTGTATTGAATATAAGTACCAAATTCTCTTTTACTACATTTCGCACAACAGAGTGAAAAATCGCTAAATTGAATCGCTTCTGGGCATTTTTGTAGGTTTTTCAACGAAAAAAAAAATTTTGCAACATTTATTCGTTAAAAACAAACCAAAATTTATCAAATTAAAACAGAAATAAT